GCATGTGCTCTCTCTCTCTCTCTCTCTCTCTCTCTCTCTCTCTCTCTCTCTCTCTCTCTCTGTGCGTGTGCAGAGAGGTCAGAAGGCAACTTCTAGTGAGTCTTGGTCCTCACCTTTGACCTTGCTTGAAATATAGTCTTTTTGTCTCATCAAACAAGCTAGCTGGCTCAAGAGCATCAAGGAGTTGTGTGTTTCTACTTCCTCTACAGAGCAAGGACTGGGATTACAGGTGTGTGCTACCAGCTTTGACTTTGTGTGGGGTCTATGGATCTGAACGCAGGTCCTCAGGCCTATTCTTCACCCACTGAACTACTTCCCAGACCCCCACAGCACTATTTTTAACCAAACAACTACAATATTTGATATTTTCCTTTCCTCCTCCTCCTCCTCCTCCTCTTCCTTTCCTTCTTTTGGTTTGTTGTACTAAGGATTGAACCTATGGCCCTATGCTAGGCTGGTGCTCCACTACTGAGTTATATCCCTTTTACAATTATTTTATTTAGTAACACGTCCTCTCTAAGTTATCCAGGTTGGCACTGAACTACCTCTGTAGCTCAGGCAAGCCTTGAACTTGAGATCCTTCTCCCTCAGCCTCCCAAGTAACTGAGATTATAGCCTTGGCTGAAAATTTTCAAAATAAAAAGCTGAGGGAAAACATTAATTCCAGCTCAAACTCTTAGCAAACAAAACAAAACAAAACAAAACAAACCTTAGGCTTATGTTGTGGTAGTGTCCCAGAGAAAGGTAGTTAACTGTAACAAGAGAAGGGGTTATGGCTTACTCATTTTGTTTAGGATGTTTGGTATAACGCCCAATGGGAGCTTAAATATTATTCTCCCGTAGCTAAGATTTAAAGAAGAGAGCTTTTACAAGGGGGAGGCTACTGTGCTTGGTTATGGCTTATCTCTGTCAGACTGAAGCTTTAATAACAACATCTTCGTTAATTCCCAGAGCTTTGAGTCATCAAAATAATTCTGCAGGATGTGCGCACACGGTTTGGTACTGGGCAGTCCAGATCCACATTTCCAGGGATATCTGACATCTTTTGCCCTTTTGTTGTGGATGTGTCTCTGGCTTTTTCACGCCAAAGCACAGCCCAAGATTAGAGCAACATATACTTAAGGGTAGGTTTTTCCAGATGGTGGTTGGGACCTGAAACGTAAGAGTGATTGAACACTGAGAACTATGTGGAGACACTGCCTTGGAAAAGAAAACAGTTCCGGTGGAAATTTAAGTTAGGGCCAGTAGATAACCCCTTCCTTTCCCTAATGAATGGGTGTATTCGTGTGTGTGTGTGTGTGTGTGTGTGTGTGTGTGTGTGTGTGTGCATATCCAGGTGATATCTTCATAAAACGACTTGCAAATCAGAGTTCAAATCTTTCGAAAAGAGGACCTGGAGCTGTCTGTCTCTCTCGTATTGAAGAAGTGAAGCACAGGGATTTCTTCTGTGTTTGGGGGAGGAATGACGAAACCCAAGGGGAACAATTCTAGGTTGGCACGTGAACCCATTCTTAGGCATTTAAAGTAGATCTTTATTAGAACCACCCTCCTCCCTTTAGCTAAGCAGAATCCCCCAAGGTGCTTTACTGTCGCCAGAGATTCACTGTCCCAGGAAATTTTTGTGCCTCACCTCCGAGAAGAATCCAACTATTCTCTGGCTGAGCAATTTGCCCCACGCAGCTAGCTGCGCCCCCCCCCCCCAGTCCCCACCCCCAGGTCACACTGTGTCAGCCCAGGTTGCGACCTGGGAGATGCTTAAGGGCTTGCCAACTCAGGCAAACTTCGTTACCAGAGATGACTGAGGTTTTGGGGTTTCCCCAGCCATCCCACGCCGGGCCACGCAGCTAGCGTCAAAGAGTGCGGCAACTCTACTCTGAGCTGCAGGGACAGGGACGGGGCGGAGGACCCAAAGCACCCTGGATGCTGCTGCTGCCAGCCCCAGGCTCCTGCCTAGGGGACAGCGAGGAGCGCAGGGCGATTTTTCGCCAGATGCCTTGTTTTCCTGCGGCAGAAACCCGAGGCGGGCTCTTTCCACCAGACCTAACTGGCCCGCAGCGATAGCCATGGAAGTTGCTGTGGCGCAGAGAGAGATCCAACCACTCGGCGCTGCTTTTTTGGTGGACGTTTTTTCCCTACATAGGTCACTTCTTTCTTCCTCCTTTGGGTAAGTGGAATCAGTCTGCAAATTGACGGTGATGGAAGCAGGGGTAGGGGTGGGGGAGAGGAGCACGAAGGGTTAATGTGCTAAGTATGGTTTTTTTTTTTTGAGGGGGGTGGTCTTGCACCTCAGTTTTGGGAGAACTGCACTTAATTTCACGTGCATTGCAGGGAAGATACTGGAATTTCTTTATTTTGTTCGACCCCCTTGCCGCCCCCCCCCCCCCGCAATAAACTTGTCTTTGGACACATCCTGAAGGGAAATAGAAAGGGGACAAGAGAATGCCCCAGAGGTGAGTTGCCAGCGAAAGAGGGAAGGAATGCAGTGATTCAGTAGAGAGATATTCCTCCAAGCCAGTGACCAGAGCAAGACGTTATCCCAACCAGCAGCTATATACTCATTTTGTTCCCCAAGCCAGCAGGGTCTGCCCCAAGTATCTCAGCCTCCCCATAAATGTCCTGATGTTCTTGGGGTGGGGAGGTCCTTCATTACCCAGAGGTCAAAATCACGTCTAAAGAAGACCTGCAACTTTGTACATAAGGGATACTCTGTGTTTGTTGATTGGCTGAAAGCTAACGCATCAGAAGATTGCAGTTTGTTCCGCAAAACCGTACTTTGGGCAGTGTTAGGAATCCTCAATGTTGACTCCTGAATGCAAGGGTAGTTCAGTTCATTCTACAAAGGGGAAGAGGCTGGAGTGTCAGATAGTCCAACATTTGAATCATCATTACTCAAAAGAACCCATCTGCTCAGATTCATGGTCCTGGGCCCCAAGGTTTTAGTATAGAAACTATGGGTCTTTGGGTCAGATACACTTGGGGTTTTGATCTCCCCTCTGTGACCTTGGGAGGGTTTCTTTATCCTCCTGAGCAGAAGTATGCTCTTCTGTAAAGAAGAGATCAGGGAAGGCATCCTCGGAGAGATGGAGGAAGCTGACAGAGGAGGGGATGAGAGAAGGTGTACTTGTCTGTGGATCCTCACTGACTCCCATGGAGATGCAGGATGAGAGGGCAGAGTGAGGCTTGGAAGGGCTTCCGAGACGCCCCCCCCTCCCCTTTTGGAGGCTTGGGTAAGGAATTCCTACCCATACCGGAGTCTCTGGGGCTCACAAACTGGGGGACACAGAAATTGAATTTGCCTTATTTTCAAGCCTGGTTCGTCCTCACAGTCCAAGGAGAGGAAAGTGTGGAAACAGCCCAGAGGAGGCAGCTCTGATGCACCTGGGGAAGCCATCCAAAGGGCGAGGAGGCGGAGCACCTCACGGTGGTGGTGATGCCAGCTTTCCTTAAACAGCGGTCTGCAGAGAACTCGAGGCTCCAGTTTGGGCCGCGTGTGAAGTCCGTGACAAAGCACTTCCCAACGTTTGCCACAGTGGGTCTCCATAGAGCTTACCCTTGGGCTTAAAGACCTAGATGTATGTGTGTAGGGGGGTGGGGAGTGGGGGGGGGGCGGGCGTGGGGAGGGGAGGGAGGATGAGATGACCCAGGCCTCCCCTGATCCTCAAGGTACCTTGAATGCCAGGCTGTTGTATGGTTATAGGACCACAGCTGGCAGACTCGGGAACAGGACAGTTGCCACTTTTTCTTCCGAGAGTTAAGGCGACAGCAATCAACCCGACCTTCTGACGCTAGTTCTATGAAGGGAAGGTCCACTTCAATCTTACTCTTTGTCTGGTGGCCAGCGTCTGGCACAGTAATGGTACACAGAAGGGCTTCGGTATGTGTATTCTGAATGAAGAATGGACTTTGGTAATCTTACAGACAAGGGTAGTACTGAGTTGAACTTCCTACGGAACACCACAGTGTGCTAATCGTACCTTCCTTTAGCAAACATTTTTTTTTTTTCTTTTTTGAGCATCTATTACTATGTGCAAGACTCTGTTGTTAGGTATCCTGGGGAACTTGTAAGCAGAATTCATGTGGATGCTTGGGTGGCTCTTTCAAGAGCACCCCAGCACCCTTGGCCTTTTCTGGAGACTTAGCCCCGTGGGGGTGGGGCGTCGCCCTAACTCTCTGAGAACACGGCTGAGGTCTTCCGGCACTCACCATTGGTGCTGTTTCTCAAGGGCTCCCTGGGCCACCTCTTTAGCTTCTCAGAGTCGCCAAGCCTTAGCAACTCGGCTTTCCTCCAGGGCCTCAGTGCCTCTCCCCAACCCATCTCCCTAGCCTCCAAGCATGAGCCCCAGTCCGGCTACAGGTAGCTGGGGAGGGGACCAAGCTGTGTCTGGGGAACTAGGTGCGGTGAGATCGCAGTGGTGAGATACCAAGCGGTCCCAGAACAAAAGGCTCATGGCTGGTACTGGCCTCCTCAACTCAGGAGCGCCGTGGGGACCTGGGTTCGGGACTCAGGCCAGAGGACCACGCTGGGGAGCAGGGAGTGGAGTACCAAAAATGAACTGACAGAAGAGAGAGAGAGAGAGAGCAGGCACCCGGGGTGGAAGCGGTAAAAGGAGGTCACCCCCCCAGGCCGAGGTCTGCGGTGGGGCCGCGGCAGGCCCTTTCCTCCGCCTCCTGCAGAGCCTTCCAGGCAGCCAAGCGTGTCTCCGGCTGCAACTCCACCGAGCACGCTGTGGCCGCGCCAGTAAGTAGCAGCCGCGCCCTCCGCTCGCTGTGCAGCCCGGGGGAGGACAGGTCTGCCACCGCCCAGCGTCCAGACCGGGTGTCCAGATCCACAAGCTCCCCGCGTTCTCCCGCAGTGGCGCGGCACCTGCAGAGCGCCAACGGGAAGGGGAGGGTCGGCTTAGCCGCTGGCTCCCCCGGGTGCCGCACCACCCTTCCATCCAATGGCTTTCAGCGGGTGGGGAGTGGGGGGCGTCGCCCGGGGGCGAGGAGCCGCGGCTGGGGTGGGGCGAGTGTTCTGTGATCAGCCGAGCAAGGCTGATGTGCCCGCCCGAGCGCGAGCGCGCGGCCGGGTGTGTGCGCGCCTGTGTGTGTATGTGTATGTGTGTGTGTGTGAGCGAGAGAGGGGGTACGAACACGCCTTTGGGGACCCGAGGGACTCTGCGGTGGGCTTCTCTCCGGCGTCGGCCCTGCGGCTGCTCAGCTTTGCATCTGCCTATCGCGCTTCTGCAGAAGCAACCCCGCTCTTTCATCCTCTCGGAACCACCCTCAGCATCCGATCTTACTTTTTCTTTCACCCACGAGGGTAGCAGCTGGCCACCTCCTTAACCGGTGCAAACACCCAAGCCAGCGCTCAGTGCTCTCCTCAGCTAGTATTTTCCCGCTTGTCTTTCCTTGGGGCTCCCCACGAGCCCCTCCAATGCTCCTCCACCCTTAGAAATTGTTCTGTTGGCCTGTTTAACCGAAGAGTTGTAAATCTTGAAGACTTTATTATTATTATTATTATTTTGATTCTTTTCATTTCATCCCCTTGTGGGCAACGGAGCAATGAAATTTCCAATCGAGACGCCAAGAAAGCAGGTGAACTGGGATCCTAAAGGTTGGTATTGCCTGCTTCGGGCTACCCTGGCTCTCCTCCACCTGCAGGTCTCTCACTGGCAGGAGCGGATGAGCTTGCTCCCGGCAGCACGCGTCCTGAGGCTGGGAAATGCGCCTGGCAACTGCAGCGTGGGTGGGAGGAGGGCGGAGGCAGCGTGGGTTCGGAGCCCAGATCGCGCCTGTCAAGATCCCATAATCGTTGTCCCTCTAGGATGGTTTCACAGTCTATTTAAAGATATACCAAGCTGGCTGTTTGTATTGAAATCTCACCAAGTGTTGGTATTTGCTTTGGACTTTGTGAGTGTGCCTCTGTGTGTGTGTGTGTGTGTGTGTGTGTGTGTGTGTGTGTGTGTGTCCTTTGTTTCTGGTGATCTTTGTCTCTCTGGCAGATGGGTGGGGTGCCTCTCAATGGACCTGGAGCTGCACCGCACGGCCCTGGGTGTTCTCAGGGGGACAGGTTTCTTGGCAGCATCTGAGGCTGCGATCTGCAGCAGCTGTCCCTGGGGTAGCCCTTCTCTCGTAGGACATGTAGAATAATGGAGCCCACGGGGCCTCCAGCGTCTTTCCTCTGTCTTATTACTAACCGTGCCCGCTAGTTTGGCTCAGGTTGTAGAAAGGGTGTGGGGAGTGGTTTTCCTCGACAGACAATGGTGGGTCTGGGAAGGTCTCACGGAGTGACCTACAGTGTGCCCCCGCACACAGTGCTGTGGTATACTTTTAGGAATGTGGGGGTCACTTTCCCTTCCTGTAAAAGGGATTAAGACAGGTGTGTGGGTGCACCACACCCTGGCCTTGGCTCCTGCCTCTGATGTTAATGTGCAGATATTATGGCTCTTAGTGGCCAATATGGGAACAGAAGTTGAAACCGTGTGTCCCAGTCACCCCTTCGCTCATATATAGGCTGAACTGGGGTAGGCAGTGCTTGAGTGCTTGGGGTTAAAATTTTGTGTGTGTTTAAATTCTTTTTTTTTTTAAATATGTTATTTACTTTGACAATTTCATACAACGCATCTTGATCATATCTAATTCCCACTCAGTTCCTCCGTTTAAATTTCTTTATGAGTACATTTCATCTCTTCCCCAGACTGGAACCAGGAAAGCAAGTTATTTGTGGAGTATGTTTTATGAATTGACTGGCTGACAAGCAAGTGAAGACACATTGCCCTTCATTTTGCAAACACCTTCACTATAGCCCAGCCTTCCGTTTGGTCTCCACATCTCTGGAAATAAGAAGTGTGATTTGGCTTTTACTTTTAATCCTTGCAGGGCATATTTATTTGTCAAATGCGTGCTTCCCATCAGTCACAGTCCTGGCCCTGGGAATATAGTCAGAACAGGACAGACAAAATATGTGTCTTCTTGGAATTTACAGTGTGGGTGTCAGGTCAAAATTAGTCACTGCAGGGAGGAGTTAGTAATTGAATGTGTAGCATGTTCTGTAAGCACCATGGCGCTTTAAAAGTCTGATAGAAAAGATTGAAGCTAGGGGTGGTGGCTCATACCTGTAATGCCAGTGGAGTCAGGATTTCCAATAGTTTGAGGTGAACACGAGGTTATACAGTGAGTTCCAGGCCAACCTGGGCTTCTATCCTGTCTGAAACAAAACAAAGCAGATTGACAAAGGCGGAGGGAGGGGATGCGCAGGAGGTTTTTGTGAGGTAATGACACCTGAACTGACATCTAGAGAGGGGTTAGCTGGCCGGTGAGAAGGGGACCTGCCTTCTGTAGAGGGAACTGCCGTGCAAAGGTCTCAGAGAAGGAGGAACATGCGCATTTGATGAGCTGGGAGCAGTGTCCCATGCTCAGAGGAGAGAGAAAGTAAGAAAGAGGTGCTGTGAGGTGTGGCTAAGGGAATCTATACGCTCTGGCCCCCAGCCCTGGTGGTGGTGGTGATAGAGTTAGGTTTGGGATCCAGGAAGAGGGTCTTTAAGTCTCAAATAGTTTTAGCTGGAGTCACATGATCTGAGCTACCATTGCCATATGATGGGATTGTGGGGACCAGATACAATGGTGCACTAACCAAGGCAGTGGCCTTGGGGATGGAGAGATGATGGATCAACAAGCCGTGGTGACCTGAAATCAACAGGATTTGTGGAAGAAGCACCCAGGTGGGACTTCCAAAGGACTGGGATGCACCTGGGGCAGGCCTGGTGTGGAGAAAGGAGTACACACATCCTAGGGTGAGATGTCCCCAGGGGGGCAGGCAGTTGACTGGGGAGGGGTAGATAGCTTCTGGAATTCTAGTAGAAGGAGCATTGAGGGACTGTCTTTCTGATGCTGGCTTCGGCTTTGAAAACTTATTTCTGTAATAGCCTCTTGTGTCCCAGGGACAAGTACTTCTCACAATTTTCTCGTATTTCACAGCCTGATACAGAGAGGAAAACCATACAAGTAGCTTCTACAGTTACAACCACGGCTGCTAAAAATAAACACCTCAACAAAAATAACAGCATTTCCTGAGCCAGCACAGCAAGACAGGTGCTTCGTGTCCATTATTTCATTCAGTTATTCTCACAATTCTTTTTTTTTAATTAAAAATTTAGTTGCCATATGAAGAATGGGTTTCGTGATGGCCTCTTCATTCATATACATCATTATACTTTGTTTATATTCATATCCCCCACGTCAGTTATCAACCCCAGCCCTCCTCCCCCCATCTTGCTGGTCCTCTCCTGGTTTGCCTTCATTATTAAAAAAAAATTCTCTATTTTGTTTTATGTGTATGGGTGTTTTGCCTGTGTATATCTGTGTACCACATGCACATAGTGTCCATGGAGGCCAGAAGTAGGTATCAGATGCCTCTTGGAACTAGAGTAACAGATGCTTAGCCAGTTGCCGTGTGGGTTCTGGGACCTAAACCCAGGTCCTCTGGAAGAGTACAGTCTCCAGGCTTCATGTTTACAGTTCTTATTTGATGGTGTGTTACTGTCCTATTTGGCCTTTGCTTGTTGCTGGGACACTGTGAAGCTGCCTTCCCCCCAAAGTGACCTGGTTCACACCTTTTGTTTCTGAAGGTGCAGGTGATCAGAGTTTGGCTAAGAGGCCGGAGGAAAGTGGGCGTGTTTTAGAATTATGTGCCAGACATGGGTCAAATACTTTACATATATTAACTTCCTTAATGTTGACAAACAGCTTAGGAGGAAAGTATTATCCTGCTTTTAAAAATGAGACAACCGAGGAACAGAGATGTCAAGTAACTTGCTCAGAGTTGCGTAGCTAGTCAGTGGTGGGACTGGACTAGAATCTGGGCTCTTAAGCATTCTTCTAGCCCATGTCTCATAAACTTTTAGGGCATCTGACTCTTGCCTGGGAAGTCTTCCATCACTCAGGGGCTGTGAGAACTTTTTGGAAGGAGGAAAAAGAGAAGGAAGAGAATGAAGAGGGAGAGGGATTAGAAGAGGAGGGGGGATGCATCCAAAGTCACCAGAATCATTTACTGGTGCTGTCCTGCGTAACTGGGATTTGCTTGTAGCCAGAAGTTTCTCAGGTCCTGTCCGGCCCCACGTCAAGATGAATCACTTCCACCCATGTCCCACAGCCACTTGGTCCCAAGTAAACACACAGAGGCTTATATTATTTACAAACTGTATGGCCTATGGGTCAGGCTTCTTGTTAGCTAGCTCTTATAACTTAACCTGTTCCTATTCATCTATATGTTGCCACACGGCCATGGCGTTACCGGTCTTCTGGCATCTTGTTGCTCTTTGGGAGACAACAGCAGCCAGTGTCTCCCCCACTCTCCTTTCTCCTTTCCCTATCTCTCTTGGATTTTCCTGCCTGGCTCCATCCTGCCCTGCCATAGGCTAATGCAGCTTTATTTACTAGCCAGTGAGAGCAACACATGTTCATAGCATACAGAAAGACATCCCACAGCATTTGCTTGCTGTTACAGTATGTTAAAGGATTTTAAGCTCCAGAAACATTAACACAGAATGTTCTCATGGCTTGAGGCAAGTGGATCAATATAGTGTAGAAAACTCAAGATCTGGGGGTAGAAAAGGATTAGGATCTGGAGTCAGCTATAGCAGTTACTAGCTGCATGACTTCAGGCTATTCACTTAGCTTCTCTGAGTCCTACTTTCTTTCTGTACAGAGAGCAGTCATTGACATGACCTTGTCCACCTCTCTGACTTCTCTCATCGTACTACCTTCCCAGTTCTGATGGTCGAGTACTTGGGCAGTGGCTTATCCTTCTCCTCTTCCCCTTCTCCTCCTCCTCCTCCTCTTCTGTAAATAAATCACGTTGTTTTTGTCTCAGGGTACTTTGAGCTGCTTGTGATGACTATTCACACAAAAACCAACCTGTCTCTTGTCTACCATTTGACTCTCGGGCCACATGTTAGTAACCACTTTTGAAAGGGCGTTCTTGCCCTATTTGAAGAATCCTTTTCTCTGTCTCTGTCAGTTTCTAGAATGTATCATGTGCTTAGGGGTCTTTCTGGTGGTTGTTGCAATCTGGAATCATCTTACTTACTTATATGTCACATTTGATGCCAGCCTCCTTTACTAGCATGTGAGCTTCATGTGCAGGCACTTCCCTGCCTTGCTCATTACTGTACTCCAGTGCCACAGGAAGTACCCAGAAAACTGTAGTCGCTCATGAACCCATTATCTAATGGATGATGATTTGGATGGATGAATGGAGATAGGGATGGATTAAAGAGGGAGGAGAGCTAGGTAGAGGGAGAGATAGACGGATAGATTGATGTTTGGATGGATGATGAACATGTGGATGGGTGGGGTTGGAGGGAACCCAAGGCTCTGTTCATCATGAAATTCTAGACTTCTTTAAGTTACAAGCTACAAAGTACAAACAAGGCTGGAAGAAGATGGTCTTCAATAACATGGCCCCAGAATGGACACCCATATTCCTGTTTCCTTTCTATCTCTCAAGTCTGTAGCATACTGCTTTCCTTTTCCGCTTTCTCCAGGAACTGAAAGACTATGTGAGTGTGAGGGAGTGATGCCAGATGGGTGTATCCAGCCAGACAAAGATCTGGT